GAATTTTGCCGAGTATATTGTCCTAATATACAATAGAATTTTGCCCAAATATTGCCAAGTTTATTCTTCTGATATTCTCCAATATTTACAATTTAAATATTTAACTTGAATATTGCTAAGAATATTATTAAAACTAGCAACAATTCTCGCGCCTTAGCGCGCTGTTAACTTCTTAATTACTTTTTAAAATAAAATTAGCAATTTTAAAAATAATAGAATTTAAAAAATTTTAATTCAAATTTTTTGTGAAAACACTAAAAAAAATTGAATTTTGGAGAAATTACGAATAATTGCAGAAATTCAATTGTATTTTCAAAAGTAATGAAATTTTTCTTATAAAATTCAATTATAAAAATTAAAGAAAGTCTTATAAAGTTTTTTAAAAAAATCCGAATTGTATTTTATAAATAACAAAATTCTTCTCCAAAGTTCAATTATTTTCAAAAATGTCAATAAAATTCTTATTCTAATTTCAATTATTTTCAAAAATTTTTCTCATTTGAATGATTTTCAATATCTACTATATTTTAATAAAATTTCACAAAAAGAATTTAATTATTTAAAGAAAATTTATTATAAAATTCTTTGCAAAAAATAAAAAGAAATTATTCAAAAAGATTATTCTGAAATTCTTTGCAAAAACTCAATTATTATTATAAATTATAAAATTCTTGGCAGGAATTTAATTACGTTTATAAATAATAAAATTCGTCTTAAGAATTCAATTATTTTTAAAAAATTTAATAAAATTCATTGCAAGACTTTAATTATTTTCATAAATAATAAAACTTATTGCAGGATTTCAATTATTTCTACACTGAGAAAACTGGAGTATTGGACTAAACATCTGGAGGGACAAATCGTTGATATTTGAGAGTTAGCTATTGGATAACAATCTAAATGTTCAAATACACCATTGACAGATATTCGTGCCATTTCTCTTGGAGGGAAAATGAGTTTATAACAGAGGGACAAATTAACCATCTTGAGAAATCCCTTCCTTATCCGGCGCGAAATGAATAAATATGGCAACCTAACCCCTAAATTAAATACATAAAATCCCAATGGGAAATGCCAGTGTAGTGCCGATGTTCACCACTGGCTTAGTACTCAGACGATTGTTCGGCGTAGTCTAGCCGAGCCTCGACAATTAGTGCTGGCGCAGTACAGAATTTTTGTTTCGCCAAAGCTTGGACAAGCCACGGCGGCAAGTGCTGGCTGAGTATAGAAAAATTGTTCACAACGCTCTTTGCCAACATTGCTTTTTTGACATAAACTTGAAAAAAATTATAAAAAAAGTTTATAAATGTTTATAAATATAAATTTATTGAAAAAAATTAATATTTTGCTTTTCAGTTGTTCATTTTTTATTCTTATTAAATTTAATAATAACAATTTAACACAATTGTCTAATTTTGTAAATAATAAATTATTTAAACAAATTAAAATTATAAACAAAATTTAAACTTTATTCTCAATAATAATTTGGTTCCTATTAAAATACTATTATACTTCTTACTATGAATAAAAAATTATTAAAAAATTACCACGTAATTTAAGAATTACGTAAAATGTTAAATGCAATAAATAAAGTAATTTAATTTAATTATTAAAAATTTAGTTTAACTTATTTTACTTCAATTTATTATTTCTAACGTATCCCTATTTTTTTTCTCATCTTTGACTCAATAATTTTATGTCTGAATGATACTGAGATATTAATAATTTTCTGTACACATGTGTCGTTAGCATAGTGGTTAGAGCGTTAGTCTGTTAGTCCGTAGGTCGTAGGTTCGATTCCCCTCGTGAGCAATTTTGTTTATTTTCATAGGTTTGCGATATTTCTAGATTCCAATCGTTAGGTACTAAAATATGAAAATCTAATGCACACTTACTGTAATTGTTTATTATTTAATTTTTAAATATTATAAACAATTTTTTTCTACTTCATTTACTATATCCATTGTTAGTCTCCATCTTTAATACAATTTCTTTAAGAAGAGAAATATTTTATGAATAATAACTATTTATTAATATTATTTACCATTTTGTTGTTAAATTATTTATAATTATGAATTTACGACTAATTAATAACAATACGGCATTTATTGCGGCAATATTCTCAGCCAGCACTGGTCCAGTGCTGCGCCAGCGCTGTCTGGCAGCACTGACAGACAGTACTTCGGCAGCGCCGGACGGCGTTATCATCCCAGTGCCATGCCAGTGCTGGCTCTCAGCCTTGCCGCCAGTGCTGGCGCAGTACTACGCCAGTTGTAAATTTCCCATTGGGATGTCAGAAAAATAATTTCGCGCGCATCAGATCGTACACATTTTCTGCGCAACTTTTAACCCTCAGATATAATGGGAGAGAATATACAAGTAGATTTCCATTATCAATTCAAAATTTATTTTAGAAGGACTATTTAACTCTCTTCATAAGCAAAGGAAACATACACTTTTCGAACCTCTGAATTTGACTCTCCAGTTTTCTCAGTGTAGTACAATTTTAATAGAATTTTTTGAAAATGCAATTATTTATGAAATTTTGATATAATTTACTTATTAGAATTGAATTATTATTTTCAATACATAAAAAATTAAATTTTTTGAAAGAATTCAATTATTTTCAACAATTTTAATGAAATTTTTCGTAACAATTTAATTATTTTCAAAAAATGGAAATAAAATTCCTCGTAGCGATTTATTTAAATTCAAAAATTTGTCAAAATTCAATTATTTCCAATATTTACTATTTCAATAAAATTATCCCAAGAGAATTAATTAATTTAAAAACAAAAATTTATTACAATTCGTCGCAATAATTATTTTTATAAGTTATAAAATTCTTCGGAAAAATTCAATTATTCTTAAAAATTTTATTAAAATTCTTCAAAAGATTTCAATTATTTATGAAATTTTGATGTAATTTGCTTATGAGATTTTAATCATTATTTTCAATACATTTTAGATTAAATTTCTTGAAAGAATTCAATTATTTTCAACAATTTCAATGAAATTCTTCGTAAAAATTCAATTATTTTCAAAAAATGTTAATAAAATTCTTCGTAGCAATTTATTTAAATTGAAAAATTTGTCGAAATTCAATTATTTTCAATATCTATACTATTTCAATGAAATTTCCCAAGAGAATTAATTAATTTAAAAACAAAAATTTTATACAATTCGTCGTAATAATTATTTTTATATGTTATAAAATTCTTTGAAAAAATTAAATTATTCTTAAGAATTTTATTAAAATTTTTGGAAAGAATTTAATTATTTTAAAAAAATTTCCATAAAGTTCTTCATAAGAATTCTATTTTAAAAAAAAATATTCAATTATTCAATAAGTTATTTATTTTTCTATTTAAATAATTGAATTCACAATGAATTTTCTGATAAAAATTAATTTAAAAATAACTTATAGTTAAAATTTTATATAATAATTGAATATTAAAATTATTATAGTCTGAATTTTTAGAAATAATTGAATTTTGAAAAGGTTTCAAATTAAAATCTTTGAAAATTTGAATTTTTCATACTTTTAAATTACAATTCTGTTGAATTAATTTTTTTTAAAAAGTTTAATTATTTTCAAAATAATAAAAATTTTACAGGTATTCAATTAACAAATTTTTTTTATAAATTTCTTTGCAATAATTCAATTATTTTCAGAAATACAAATTTTTACAGTGATTCAATTATTTTACAAAATAATAAAAAATTTTAGGAATTCAATAATTTTCATAAAAAATATTATTGAAAAATATTATTACCACGGATCTTAGAAAAAAACTGTAAATATTATAGTGTACAAGAAATTTTCTTCTGCCAAGCGATAAATTATTTTTTTATTGAAACCAGATCCAAATGAAGAATCACTCTCGTTTTTTTTCAAGGGAGAAAAAAAATAGTGAATGCTTTAAATTAAACAAAGTATAAAATGGCTACTAATGTTTGAAAGATGAAACGTTTAATTTAGGCGTTTAATTTGATTGTGTTTAAAGTTAAATCAAAGACTGCGATGGGCAACAAGTAGTCGTTCACGAGGTTACGACTGCGATACACGCACGCGATATAAAGTTCTCCCAACCGTTGGCGTTGGCGATGTTAGTCCAACATTTGCTTAATTTATTATTACGATTTTGCTCTTTTTCATCCACAAACCTTCCGGATAAACGTATATCAGCGAAAGAAAGGCGAACAAAATTTCTTTTTTATAAAAAATACTCCGCATTTTTCAATTTTTACATATATTAATTTTTCATAGAAAATTAAATGAAGGAAACAATTTTTTTGATAGTATTTTTTTGAAATGAGTTATTTAAACTTTATATTTTATTTACAATTTACATTCCATGGTTTGTGATATTAAATTAATCGAATGGGAAGGCAGATGCGATACTAGCGCCGAACGGTAGCGTCTGTGAACTAAAATCGATTGAAAGGCAGATGCGACACTAGCGTCGAACGGTAGCGTCTGTGAACTAAAAATCCAAACATTTTACTACTGTTTGCTAAATACCTTTAGAGTTATTAATTTATTATTAAATATTAATTAGAATTATTAATTTGAAAATTAGTTTAGAGTTAGAAATGAAAAAATTAGGTTAGAGAATATTATTTTTTGGAGAATTTTATTTTTTTGGTTATTAAAGAATTTTGTGAATGAATAGGCAGATGTGACACTAGCGCCAAACGGTAGCGTCTGTGAACTAAAATCGATTATAATATTAAATTAATCGAATGCGAAGGCAAATGCGACACTGGCGCCGAACGGTAGCGTCTGTGAACTAAAAATCCGAACATTTTGCTACATTTCGCTAAATACGCTTAGAGTTATTAATTTATTAGTAATATTAATTAGAGTTATTAATTGGAAAATTAGTTTAGAGTTATTATAATTGAAAAGAAATTAGGTTGGAAAATATTATTTTTTCAGTTAATTTAAATTTCTTTTGGTTATTAAAAAATTTGTGGGATTATTTTGAATGTTGCAGATCTTTCTGACGTTCCTGAGAATGTACCACTTCGGGCGCGAGGTTCAGAGAGTCCCCAAGCGTTGAATTATTCGCAGATTGCCTCGGCAGTATCGCAGAGCACGCAGGATCCCTCAGTTTCGTGCACTGAAACCATGCTCAGGAATATCCAGGGTCTACTAAAGATCGCGGCGGACAACGCACGGCAGCAGGAGAAGCAAATCAACTACGAGAAAGGTCAGTGGCAGGGCTTTCTTAAGACACTTGAGGGCGCTCTCCACAATTTCATTATCTTCCAACTCTCCCAGAATTACATTAAGAGGCATTAGTCCCCTTCGCTGGGCGCGCCTCTGTCTCATCGAAGTCCTCCTTGACCTCTTCTCCTTTTTCTCCTCTATACACTATTATACTCGAGCACCTTTTCTGCTTTTTTATTTCTCCTGCTGTCGTTTTCTATTATATAGCCCCTCTCCAACGCAACAGAGAAAAAAAGAAACATACATTTTCGTCGCATTATCTCTAAGGTACCTGTCGTCAATATTCGCAAAAATTAAAATATTATCCGTTTTGTTTGAAATCAATTTTATTGCCTTCGTTTTCATTCGAGGAAAACTTGAAAATTATCATTTTTGCTTTGATTAGTTTTAAAATCTGTTTGAATCAAATTTTTGACGCACTGAAGAAAGATAGTGCGAAAAATTTTAGGTTATGTTCGTAATTTTTTGAATCTCTTCACTAATCTTCATTAGATATTCGTTGAAAAATGACTGTAGTATTTAATTAATTAAATACACATTTTTTTATTATCGTGACAATAACACAAACATAACCTTAAAATTATTATCTTTCTTCACTGTGCGACACAATCTTCAATTCTTAACAAAAATTTTTTATCTTCGTAAATTTTATCGTAATTCTAAATAAATAAAAATAAATGTTGCAGCAGGTGCCTTATTTTTTAAACAAATTTTTTTAATTCCTTCAAGCAGAAGCGTTCGATAGACTGTACTTGTATTATTTTATAGTTATAAATGAAAACAAACGAGGTGATCCAATTCATCTCGACCGCATTTTGTAATATAAATTATGTAGTTGTTATTATTATATTTTAGAAGACACGTTTTGCACAGCAAATTTTTCATCCCAATTAACCAAAAAATATCGAAAAATTGTTTGGAAATGAATGCAAATTAAAATTTGTCTTCACATTTTCCATTCGTAACGCATTGGAATAAATGAATTCAAATTAAAATTTGTCTTCATATTTTCCATTCGTAACGCGTTGAGTGTTAGCGATTATTAAAAAAAAAAAATCTGTGACAACGTTAATCCGGAATTTTCACACAATATTATATGTAAATTTTTCATAATTATGGTTGTCAACAAAGAGTGAAAAGAAAAAATCGCCGAGAAAAAAATTATATTTTATTAAATATGAACCCAGTCAAAAGAAATTCCGTAGAATTTTTCTATTTTTCCAATATTCTTTAGAAATTCACTAAAAAAAATTTAATGAATATTTTTATTTGAATTCTAGTGAATATTAGGTATAAATTTACATAATTATTTTGTAGATTTTAATTAATTATGTATCATTAATATTAATGTGTTATTAATTAAATATTTTTTTTGAATTTCGCGCCAATTTTTCAAACTGCCGCCTAGATGGCGGTAGTTTTGCGAAAATTCGCTCACAAACGAAGTGAAGCGAACAGAGTACATGAATACTATTATAAATTACAATGATAAATAAATTGTGATCATTAAATAAATATTAAATTTTTCTAAAAAATATTTACTAGAATTTTTTTAGTGAAATTACATAGAATTATTCTAGTGAAATTCTATAGAATCATTTTAGTGAAATTCTACAGAATATTTAGTAGAATTTTTGTAGAATAATTTTATAGAATTATTCTAATAAAAGTCTAGAATTTTTTCGACTGGGTACAAAGTAAAAAAAAAAAAATATCGACAAGAAAGCGTTTCGAAAAAAATAATTGGATATAATTTTTATGTACACTAATTATTATATCTGAGTAATGAATATAATGTTTTGACTCTAGAATACACTGTGTGATATAATATAGTAGTTTTAATACTAACTTCCTAGTGAATGTTAACAAAAAAAAATGGTATTATAATAAAAAAAAGGTAGTTAAAGTAACAAAAAAAATCGTCAGTCATTAGTTTTTCCAAAAACTGTAATTTACACGATTTTTCAGTGACTTGACAAAATTAGAATTAAAAGAGAAATTGTATTTAAAAAAAAAAACAATTTTTAGTTTAAAAATCTCGATTCAAAATAGCAAATGAATATCAACTATTTATCTACTACGAATATTCATTTTGCAAAAAATAAACTAAAGAAGAAGAAAAAATTCACATTTCTTTTTCTTTCATTATCGTATTTAATAATTGGACATGACTCGAGTTCATGTCGCACAAATATTAGTTCAACGTAGCTTTTCAAAGTTGTAAATCTACGACGCATAAAAAAATTTTTTATGTAAATAAACGAGTCATTTTCTAGACATCGCTTTAAAGTTAAAAAAAAAAGAAAAGAAAAAAACTTTTCATGTCGAAATCGTTTGATATTAAATTATAAACTTGGAAAACTTTTTCCTGACATCAGGAAAATGAAAAAAAAAAAAAAAAAAAAAAAAGTTTGACACCAGGTGAATTTAATATTAAGAAAAATGCGAGGAAAGAAGAAAAAATAAAATAGATAAAAAAAATTAGTAAATGTGAATAATAATTATATCATAAGTGTAACTATTAAGTGCTAAGAGAATCGTTAAGTGAATAACGAAAAAAAAGTGTGAATACTAAATAAAAATGTAGAAAACTTTTTTGTTCAACAAAATTTTTTCTTTTTGAAAACTATACCAAAATTAATTATAAATAACTAAATGGAAAAAATTTGAAATATTTATAAAACTTTATGAAATTTTTACAATGAAACATAAATTAAAATTCAAAATCAAAATCGAATATTGATGAGTATTTAATAATTAATATTTTATAATTTATTTGAATGAAAATATTTTTTATCTTTTTAATTAATTTTCGATTTGAATAAATTACTTTTATTATGAACAATTCGAATTTTCTAATTTGAGAAAGACAATTTTTACAAAGTCAAAAAAGTAATTTTTAAAAATTATAATTTTTTAACTTTTCTCAATTTTGTTTTCATTATTTAAATCGAAAAAAAATTTTTTACTTTTTTGTAAATAAAAGAAGAGATTTTTAAATTATAGAGCGATATTGAGGAAATGGCACGCTTCGTCTATATGCATTATTTATAAAAATAAACATCGTTTTTTCATAGTCAATATATATATATATATATATATATATATATATATAAATAATTATCATCGATAATTCAATTTTAGTTTGTGCAAGATTTTAGCTAAAAGTTAAAAACAAAAAACAAAAAAAGTGTAACTGACTGTGTATATGTACGTTTGTTTACTGTTTAACCCACTTCTCGACGATTCTATACACAATTTTCACGTAAAACGATCAAAGTCGAAAAAGTGAAAAATAAAAATGCTTTTCTCAATAAAAGTAAATTGTAAACAACACGCTATATTGAACTGATTTCATACTCGAGCAACAGCAGTTCATCGAAAAATAGAACAAAAAAATAGAACAAACAATAAAAAAGAATAAGTTTTTATTACACTGAGAAAACTGGAGTATTGGACTAATCATCTTGAGGGACAAATCGTTCATATTTGAGAGTTAGCTATTGGATAACAATCTAAATGTTCAAATTCACCATTGACAGATATTCGTGCCATTTCTCTAACAGAGGGACAAATTAACCATCTTGAGAAATCCCTTCCTTATCCGGCGCGAAATGAATAAGCAAAGGAAACATACACTTTTTGAACCTCTGAATTTGACTCTCCAGTTTTCTCAGTGTATAGAAATATGAAAAAATTAATTGAATTTTGGTGAAAGTTGCCGTTGCTCGACTATAACAGCTTTTAATTCAACGAAAATTTAGTATCACTTTCTTTCATTATACTAATTTACCTAATAATTAATATTTTCCGAATTGAACCAAATTTTGGATATTTTTCTACTCTTTTATTTATTTTTTCTACTTTTTATTTTTTTTTCTGTTACCTTTTTTATTTTGTTTTTATTCTTTTATTTAACAATTAAAAATATTTTATCATACGAAAGATTTTAATATTTTAATATTTATTTTAATTTTTTTTTTTAAAAAGTTTTTCCTTCCATTATAATATTTATAAATAAATTTTTTTTCGATTTTTGGAAGATGATGAAAAATTAGAAAAGAAAAACAATTATCTTTTTTAATAAAACGACGTTTATTTTTTTTTATAATCTTATTTATTCAGGGCTCGAACTAAGTTTGTAAATCCCGTACAGGTCTGTAAATTTGCTTAAAATAATCAAGAAATTCAATTACGTTCAAAAATTTTTAAAAATTTTTGTCAACATTTCAATTATCTTTAGAAATAATAAAATTCTTCTCCGAAATTAAATTATTTTCGAAAATTTTTATAAAATTCTTGGAAAAATTTCAATTATTTTCAAAAATTTTCTTCAATTCAATAATTTTTAATATCTACTATTTTAATAAAATTTTTCAAAAGAATTCAATTATTTTAAAAAAATTTCATAAAATTCTACGCAAATCTTCAAGTATTTTCATAAAATAATAAAAATTTCACAGGAATTCAATTATTTACCAATTTTTTATAAATTTCTTCGCAATCATTCAATTATTTTCATAAAAAATAAAATTTTTACTCGAATTAAATTATTTTCGTAAATAATAAAATTCAATTATTTTCATAAATAATAAAACTCATTGCTGAATTTCAATTATTTTTAACACAATTTTAATCGAATTCCTCGAAAAATGTAATTATTCTTAAAAATTTTATTAAAACTTTACGATAGAAATCAATTTTAAGAAAAATTTTATTAATTCAATGAAATATTAAAATTCGTCGCAATAATTTAATTTTTTTCATAAATAACTTTTAATTCGTCGCAGAAAATTAATTATTTAAAAAAAATTTTAAGTAATTCTTCAAAAGAATTCAATTATCTTGGTGAAAAACAAAATTCTTTCCATAAATCAATTATTTTAATGAATTTTAATAAAATTCTTTTTCAAAATTCAATTATTTTGATAAATATCAAAATTTATTACAAGAATTTCATTCTTTTGAAAAGTAATCAAA